TCAACATAAGATGAAATCGATTTGGTAAATCCTTTCGCCAATTTTTTATTTGATCATACCAGTCATCTCGACGATTATGATCATTTTTCCTGAACACAGTTAATCGACAATCTCTGCTGACCAATTCGAGCGCTATCGGACTAACATGATTAGCGTAAACAATATCTCGGATGGACTTGTTCGGCCAGGTAAACGGAATTCTGACGCGCTTAAAGTCGAGAACAACATCGTGCACATGGCCAGACAGGACGATATCGCAAGAGTATTGAAGGATACTTGATATAGTTGCAACTTGGACTCTAGCCTTCGGCTCGCAAGTAACCGTTATTAAGACTACATCATCTGGCTTGTAGAGAGAGTCGTAAGTTAAATGTTTGACAACTTCTACAACTTGGTCGTTCGGTTTTAATTGAATATTGATTTCTCTTGTCGGGGCCATTTTGCCTCAAAGTTTTTTGTTTTTTGTTTTTGTTTTTTTTTTTTTTTTTTGTGGTCCGAATTACTGATTTTTATTTCTTTTTAATCCCTTAAATACTGCTACGGTGATAAGATTATAAACTTTTTTAATGTACTTTTTTTATTGATTAATTTTGCAGTATATGTAAAATATGGATCGATTACACAGTGGAAATGAAATTCAAACAGGAACGCCGTCGTGTAACTGGTAACGCATATATTTCTTCCCAAGATGAAATTAGAAGTTGATTAAACACAATGATATATGGTAACATAAATACAATAATTGATATTCATTTGATAATGAAACGACTTTAGGGTTTTCATATGACAATCAGCATCGAGTCTCGAGCTCGTCGATATCTCGTGCTTTATAATGTATTTCTGTTTCATTCTCCAATTTAATGATAGATAATAATCGCAAGTCGAACAATAGAACAATAACCAAAAATTCTATTAAAGGCAAATTACTCTGATTCTGTCAATACAAATTTGTTAAAATCTAGACTCTAATTCATATGCTCCTTCCTGAAGACCTTAAAGACCTCCTCTATTAACACGTGTATAAATTGAATTTGTTATTACATAAAATATGTAACTGCGCTATTTCAAGCATTAAGCTCTTTTACGGAGAACAATAAGAAATATTTGTATTACAAACAGCAAGCCAAATGGAATTACCTCCAAAAATACCATACGTAAGGAGAGTGTACCTTGAATATTCATATGATTGAGATTTTTCACCCTTAATTCTTTGATTTTCAAATTTGATATTCAATAATTATTGTTTTCTTTAGTCAGAAATAAAAATATGTGTTCCCGCTTTAATTATATAAACCAAGTTAACATTTCTCTGTTTTAGAAAATTTCCCAAATTTTCATATGAATGTAAGCAAAGATTACCGTTATACTGTACTACTATTCCCTATAATAACAAATATCATTTTTTTGGATAAATAAACATAAAATCGATATTTACGCGTTTACGTAATTCTTTCCTCAATTGTTTGATGGCTGCGGATAATGCTCACAAATCAACTTGCATATATTCCTTAAAGTCTGATACGTATACGCATACATTCTCTTTTTGCCAGAACAAGAAAATAATAACGTATTTCCGAATGAATTTACCAAAATATTCCCACCTAACCTATCTAAATTGAGTCATATTAGGTAATTTGCGGCTTATTATAAGCATATATATTCGCGTCAATCATTAAGTTAATGTACCCTTCCTTCAATGGGCTCTTTGAATCTTTAAATATTTCTCAAAAGTTTTAATAGATTTTTATTTAATGGCTTAAACAAATTGTGATAACGATAAATAATGAATGTATAAATTACCGGATGCGACTTTTTATTTGTCCATCTTTTTGTGCAACAAAATCCATAAATGGTTTCCCATTGTCATTGGTACATTGTTGCATTGATCCTTTTTTCAATTAAGTGGCTGAGTAACCGATAGTTTCAAGTTTAAGCTTATATCACCAAAACACGTTTCCTTTTATATTTTATATTTACTGATATTTTTATGTACTTGGAAAGGTGTTTCTATTTTTTGTTTTTACAGGTTTATGCATGCCACTTAATTTGATCTGGTTGGATAATGCCTTTTTGTTGTCCCGGAAATCTTTTTCAATAAACCCTGAACTAGAAATTGTTATTCGAAATTACTATATTTACCTTTATTTTTTCACTAAAGCGAGATCGTGTCCTGGTCTTTATTATTACATGAATAGTTTAATTATTATTATAATCTAACCGCTTTCACTATCCATGACTACCTTGCAAATAGCACTAAAGATGGTCTCTATAATTAATTTTTTTTAGATGCAAAGTGCAGAAACATCGAGATTTTCTAAATTCATCAGATCTACAAAAAAAAAAAAATTATTTGTTATCTCATAATTTAACTAATCGTTGACGGAGTATATATTTTGCTCACGATAATAATTCTGTACATACGTACGTACGTATGTACATTGCAGCTTGTAGCTTTTGTACTTACGTACGTACATCAATTTTATAGTTTTAATATCAATACGTACTTTTTTGTTACATAGATGACTTCATTGGCTTGGCGGTTTTTATTAATGTATTTGGAACACGATATTACACATGGGCAGTGAAGGAAATCTGAAAATTTTTTTAATTTTAAATTAATGTTTCTTATTTCTATATTTAAAAAAATATTATTAAAAAAATTAAAAAATTTTATGTTCTCAGAATGAGAACATAATTTTTAAATATTATGTTCTCAAGAACATTGAGAACATTAGATTTCCAACACTGCACATGGGTTCTATTTACATTACAAGGATGAGAATACAATTGGCCGCATATGCAACTTTAATCGTTGCCTATCGCTATGTATTTAAAAGATTCATCGATTAAGTTATTCTCAAGCTATATATTATACTTAAAACTATATTTAAAACTAGTGATCTAGTAGTAAAATTCATTTCACCAATTTTTAATCTAATATATCTTAATTTTATCTATAATGGTGTATATAGTAAAATCATTTTATTGTATATTTGGGTTTAATTTTATCATCACCTTTTGCCTAAACTATTATACGTATTGCATTTGTATTTTTGTTTTTCTTAACAAATTTAATTGTACGTTTACGTATACGGTAGTGCTCCGAAACGTTGCCCGGATAGTTGACCGTTTTACTAATTATATAAATTCTTATGCTAACGCTAAAGAAAAAACATTTTATTTTTAAATTGATACTTTAATCACAATAAATTTATGCTATTATTTAGCATCTTATAATTTATTTTAATTTTTATTCTCACTAAGAATTTATTTACATAGATACATCATGGACGAATAGTATGTGTGTTTGAGGACTACTGTATTTCTTCTAATATCAATTAGGTTAGCTTTTTTAGAAAATATCAGTTTCACTGGAACTAACTGCGTGATAATCCCCATTCTTTATTAAATAAGCTTGAACCCGATCAGTGGGATGTATTTTTAAACTCGAGTTTAAAATTCGTGCTACTGACCGTTTAGAAGCACTAATATACAGTACTTTAGTATTTAATTTTTTTCAAATGATAACAAACATATCAATGCAATTTATATTTACTATTAATGTTATAAGTTGATTAGTTAATAAATTGGGATTTTTTAAACTGATTTAATAACTAATAATAAATTTTTAATTACAATTTATTTTTTTTGTATATAAACATGTTATATAGTAATTATATATACAGTAGTTTAATTAAATTACAAAAAATTTATAAAATAAAATTATTAATAAAATAATAATACAGCCAGACCTCTTTATAGTCACATTTACTTATAATCACATAAAATTTAAAACCAACTTATATACAGTATATGATACAGTATATATAAAATTTAACCTCTATGTAAGCACAAACTCTATCTTAAAACCAAAAGTGTGATTATAAGGAGGTTTGACTGTAATTTATTTATACAAAACCTAAATAAGGCTATACAAAAATTTTTTGGTTTTTATAATATTGAGAATAAATATGTAATAGTTTTTTTATACTATATACTAAGGTTGGCAAAAAGGGTAATTTAGGACTTTAGAATTTTTTCGGATAGCTACTCCGAAAATTGTCGCTTAATATTAATCACATCCGAAAACCAAAAAACTGAATTTTAGTTAATTCTGTATTTATTCCTAAATTTTAGAATATTTTTCAGGAATTTGGAGTATTCTTGAGTAAGCTCAAAAATTTTTAGGATGTCCGAAAACTAACTTTAATATACAGGTATAGACCCTTATATGGTCTTATTATATCTGTCCATTTTACCATTAACTGGATATGCATTATACTCGAGATTTGCAAACAGTTCTTCTTAATTAGTGCCCCTCAGCTCATTTCTGCATATCCAACCGGAGTCAGGTACTTCCAATCATCATTGGTGTGACTGAAGATTATAGCGTACATCCTACGCTCAGCATGTCTAATTAAGTTAACATCTTCATCCCACAGAATCTGCAGATTTTCGATAATTCAACAATCGTCTTTTAGTAGAAATTGAACTCTGGACCTGCCGCTTGGAGGTGATAACTTGATCACTTCACTAAGTCACCACACCCTATATCCCTTTATTTACAACTTTCTGCTCTTGCTGTATTATCTTTAAATCATCTACAATGTCATCTCTATAATCTTTTATAATGGTGAAGAGAAAGAAAAACAACTTTTCCTTTATTATACAGACAGGCTTGTAGATTTCTATCTGTTTCTACTACATCAGTACTATTCAAAAGACTCTTTTTGAATGCAGATAATATAATTATTAATAAGTAAAATTGTCTAAATCCTGATACTGTTTACAATCTATTATTTTTAAAAGAAAATGATCATTTAGTTTCATTTTATTTAGACTAGCTTCACAATAAAATTATTATAAATATACTATAACAATCACCTGATTTATCACAAATTTATATATAGAGTGTTTTTATATATAAAATTATAACAAAAACATATAGAATTATATATAAACTTTGTTGCAATGATGTTTCTTCCCTTATATATTAACTTTAAATTAAATTTTATGAATAAATACATCAAGAAGAGGAGAATAAAATGCTTTCGAAGTTGAATTAAAATTTTGCAATTTTTGTACAATTTAAAAATGTAACTCTGTCAAAAGAAAAAATTTAACAGTTCTAAAATAAACAACTTCCAGTTAGTGAGTAAAAAAGGTTATCTTAGTAAAAAAAAGTTTTCTATATACTAATGTCAAAATTTTCAGTTTTTCTA